GCCCCTTAATGGTTGTCCTTAGCTTGTATCTGATGTCAAACTCGCTAAGTTCAACAACTCATTTAACCAGTCTCCCCGATGATTCTGGCTTGTGCAACACCTGCTTGGTTGATCTGTTGGGATTTCGATAGTATGAGCTTGGAAGTAGGGTCGTAGCCTCCTGGCAGTTGTCACTAAGGCTAAAATGAGTTTTTCCATTTTAGGATACCTTTCTTCTGCCCCCCTCAGAGCTCGGCTGCAGTAGTAAACTGGTTGCTGAGCTCTGTCCTTCTCCTTTACTAACGTTGCGCTGGTTGAGAACTCTAAGACAACTAGGTAAAGGGTAAGTACTTCTCCTTCTAATGGACTTACCAAGACAGGTAGGGAGCTCAAGTATTCTTTTAATGCTTTGAAGGCTTCTTCACACCGAGCATCCCATTGAAAAGCTTTTCTTTAAGACTCGAAAGAAGGGCTGACACTTGTCGCTTAATCTGGAAATGAAACAACTCAGAGCAGCTATTCTCCCGGTTAAACGCTGTATTTCCCTCGTATTAGAGGGAGGCTGCATATCCAACACTGCTTTTACCTTCTCTGGGTTAGCCTCTATCCCTCTGCTATTAACTATAAATCCCAGAAATTTTCCTGCTGACACCTCAAAGGCACACTTAGCAAGGTTGAGCTTCATCTTGTATTCTTTCAGGACCTGAAACGACTTTGTTAGGTGCCCAATGTGGAGCTCTGCCTTCAGTGACTTGACTAGCATGTCGTCAATATAGACCTTCATAGAGGTTCCAATCTATTTTTGAAATATCTTATTGACCAGGCGTTGGTAAGTGGCTCCTGCATTTTTTAACCCGAAAGGCATTACTTGATAGCAATACGTCCCTTGCTCGGTTATGAACGAGGTTTTCTCTTGGTCACTAGGATCCATCCCGATCTGATTGTACCCCCGAGAAGGCATCCATGAAGCTGAGGAGCTCATGTCCCACAGTGGCATCTACAATCAAATCTATCTGGGGTAAAGGAAAATTATCTTTTGGGCAAGTACGGTTAAAGTCTGTAAAGTCAATGCAAAGATGTCATTTGCCATTTGTCTTCTTGACTAGGACTACATTGGCAAGCCAGACTGGGTAATCCACTTCTCGAATGGCTTTTGTGTGAAGGAGCTTGTTGACCTCATCGTTGATAGCTTTTTTACGCTCTAGGACGAAGCTCCTCTTCTTTTGCTTAATGGGCTTACAGACTAGATTTACGCTAAGCTTGTGAGTGATGACAGAGGGATCAATCCCTTTCATGTCCTCTTGCTTCCATGCAAAAACTTCCTTGTTTCTTTTTAGAAATTGGATGAGGAGATCCCTCAGCTTGGATCCAACGTAAACAAAATACTCTGGCTCCTCATCGATTTGAACAGGTTCCAGCTCTTCTAATGGCGTTGGCCTGGTCTCAAGTTTATCCCTCATGTCAAGCTCATCCAATTGGATGCTCTCAACCTCCTTATTTCTCATGGATGCCATGTAGCATTCCCGTGCTACGCGCTGGTCTCCTCGGACCGCTCCAACTTCGTTTTCTGTTGAAAACTTTACTACAAGGTGATATGTAGAGGGAATAGCCCTTGTAGAATTGAGAGAGGGTCTTCTAAGGAGCATATTGTATGTTGAAAGTGTGTCAACCACTAGGAATTTCACAACTGTAGTAGTCTAATAGGGTGAGTCACTTAAGGCCAAGATGAGTTGAGTTGACCCCAGGGGCAGCACCCTTTCTCTTGAGAATCCCAATAGGTGGACACTTACTGGTTCAAGCTTTTCCCTTCCTATATCCATTTTGTTAAAAGTAGAAGCAAAAATGATATTTGTCGAGCTGCCATTATCAATCAAGACACGATGGATAGTCCTGTTGGCCACTACAGCTCTTACCACCAATGGGTCATCGTGGGGATGTTGGCAGCCCTCCAGATCTGAATCTAAGAAAGTGATAACCGTGTCTAAGTGTGGAGATTTAGACACAGTATATACTTCGGGAGCTTCTATGGCTCTGATTTTTTGCAAGTGAGCCTTTCTAGCAGAGCTGGATCCTCCTCCTCCGGCAAATCCTCCAGATATCACTCTGATCTCCCCTATAGGTTATTGGTGTGGCTCTGGTGCTTGACGCTGAGGGGGTGGTTGAGCTCAGTTTTGATTATCATTGGCCACATAGCGTCGCAACTGCCCTCGCCGGATTAGAAATTCTATTTTCCTCTTCAATTGGATACAGTCATTGGTATGATGACCATGGTCTCTGTGGAAGTCTCAATACTTCGTAGGATCCCTTTTTGTCGGGTCTGTTTTCATCAGGGATGGCCGCCTTAAGAACTTCTCGTTTTGCACCTCATATAGTATCTAAGACACTGTAGCANAGTCTCAATACTTCGTAGGATCCCTTTTTGTCGGGTCTGTTTTCATCAGGGATGGCCGCCTTAAGAACTTCTCGTTTTGCACCTCATATAGTATCTAAGACACTGTAGCAGTCAGGGGGGGTGAGCTGCCGGGGTGCATACCTCGGTTGTAGCTCTGGTTGTGGAGGGCCGAGGCGATCTCTGACATTTCTCCTTCTCTTCGGGGAACGCTCTCTGTCTCTATTTGGAGACCTGCCTCGTTCTCTTTCCTTTATGGAACTTCGTTCTCTCTTCTTTTTTTCCTTCCCTTTCTCCTTTCTAGATGAAGAGCTCCCCACCTTTGAGAGGAGCGCTTCCTCACTATTTATGTACTTTTCTGCTTTGGCGAGCACCTCCGCCATACTAGCCTGGGGGTTCTTTGAGATAGAAAACATCAAATCTTTTGACTGAACTCCCAAACCTGCTATGAAGGTTGTAATAACAAATTTTTCGTCTGGGACATCCATCTTAAAGGATTCTAAGTTGAACTATTGGACATAAGACCGTAGGTTCTCATCAAGTTCCTGTTTCAAATTTAACAAATGGTAGCTCGATTTCCTATAGGTCCAAGCTCCAATGAAGTGGGACACAAATGAGATTGACAGCTCTTTAAAAGAGGAAATCGAGGCTGGTGGGAGTCTGTTGAACCATGTCAAGGCTGAGCCCTTCAGGGTGATAGCAAAGGCCCTGCATCTCACTGGATCTTAATATCCATGCAACTCCATTTGGTTTTTGTAGGTGTTGAGGTGGGAGAGGGAAATACAGCACCCCAGTAGTGAATGGGGATTCGATTTGCTGCACCAAGGCATCCATAGTGACTGGGGTCTTGCTCTTCACCGTCTCCTTCATCTGGTTGAGCTCTTGCTGAATGTCTTTGAAACGTTACTTCCAGTGGTGTTCTCTTCTCTCTTGTTGATAAGGGAAGAAGTCGTTCCTCTCCCCTTTCTTATACTGACTTTGTACTTCTTTGTTGTGTCCATTCCTAGGGGGTAGTCGAGGTTCTTGTCCGAAGGTCTGGCTATTCTCCCCCACCTCATTAACTTCTCTGAGGGGGTCGAGGTGAAGTTGCTTTCTTGGTGGTGAGTTATTCTAGCCTCCTTGGGCTGGTCGTGCCTCCGGTGGGCGTTGTAAGAGTTTTAAGAGCTCTTCGTTCTATTTTATTAGACATTCATTGACAAGACGAAGGGCCTCCATCTCATTATTTATGGGAAGGCCTCCCATGGGGGGATCTGCTTCTTGAACGTTTTCGGGTTGCTAGTTATCCGCGGCTTCCTGTTGATCTTGTATCCGTAGATGATTGGTCTAACTTCGGCTCATGTTCCGCGTTGATACCATCAGTCACTGAAAAATCAGCTTTATTTGTAACAGGAACAGTGTTCCCACAGACGGCGCCAAACTGGTGGTGTATTTCAACGTGGATAAGCTTAAGGTGTAGGTAACGTGAGATGAGCGTGGATAAGAGCTTCGAGGCTCGTGTATGATGCTACGATAAGATATTCAGGGGATTAAAGGGGTGTACACAATGGAAATATAGTGGTTCACCAGCTCGAGAGCTCGGATAATCCACTCTTCAGTAGAGATTCTTCCTCCTTCTTTCACTATTCGCTTTATTAAAAAGTTTACAAACTGTAATATGTGATACCAGGGTCCTCTTCCCTCCTTAGGGGTGTTACATTGTATTTATAGGACTGTTCCTTATTCAGTGGGATCTTAGCCGAGATTCTTACCCTTATTTCGTGGGGTTCTCCTTAATTCTAGAAGAAAATCTTGGTTGATTTCAATTAGGTGCCTCGATTATTGCTTCCTAACGTTTTTAGGAACTTCTCGTGATCTTCCAGTTGTTGTCTTAACTGTTCGTCTAGTCTGACCTCCTAGGCTAAGCTGACCTTTTGAACTGGCGTTTGAGATTTATTGTGAAGTATCTTCAACTTTAATTCTTCATTCAAAATAATTTTTTTTGCAAGTGATTAATTTTGAAAAATAAGTTTAGAACTGATTGATTTGGGAAATAAGTTGATAAAATAATTGGGTTTTGTGAATACCTTATTTTAATTTTCTCTTTGAGCCGGAGAAACTACCAACATTTGTTTTACTTAAAAAAAATTCTCGAAAAAGTAGAAAAATATTTTTTGAAGCTACTACGTGATTATTTATTAGACACCTTACTAACGTCCGGGGATGTAGCTCAGATGGTAGAGCGCTCGCTTAGCATGCGAGAGGTACGGGGATCGATACCCCGCATCTCCATTTTTTGTGTTTTTTATTTCTCCCTCTGTGATGTATTTACTTAATTATATTCTCTGAAGGTTGCAATGAAAAAACACGCGGAACTCTAATACACACCCTCGCCAACTCACCGGATAACGTTCGGTTTATGTGACTAATACACACCCTTGCCAACTCACCGGATAACGTTGATCAAAAAATAAAAAACTCGCCGGATAAGACCTCCCCCAACTCGAGCGTTCAACCCTCTCTCTCTCTGACTTTTTTGGGTACTTTTAAGCAATTTGATGCATCTGCATCTAGATTCTTAGACCGAAACTTAATCTATAGATCCCAGAAAGGAAAATTCAAGAGTTTTCCTTCTGCAAAATCTACAGGAAGAAAAATGAGTGCATCAAAGACAGTGAGGAAATTGCAAGTGGTGTCTCCAGTCCCAGCTGACATTGACATTGCAAACTCTGTTGAACCTTTACACATCTCTGAGATTGCTGAAGAACTCAATCTTAGTCCCAAACATTATGATCTCTATGGCAAATTCAAGGCCAAGGTAACTTACATGAATTTCATATGTAAAAATTCAATTTGTATCTGGATATAAATATTTGCATTTGTGTGAGTCTGTGAGGATAGGCCGATTACCGATTTATGATTCGTATTTGTAGTATAAAAAAAAAAGAGATTTTGTGTATTTGGGTTTAGAGCTAAGTTGATGTATATGTGTTTTTTCATGATGCATTTGTTGTTTTGTTTTGTTGTTATTCGGAGTGGACTGATTTCTGGGTTTGTGGATATTGCAGGTTTTGTTGTCTGTGATTGATGAGCTTGAAGGAAGTACAGATGGGTATTATGTGGTGGTTGGAGGGATTACTCCAACCCCTCTTGGGGAAGGCAAGTCTACTACTACCGTTGGTCTCTGCCAAGCCTTGGGAGCTTTTCTTGATAAAAAGGTATTACTTCATGCTTGTGTAATTCGATTATTTCGTTTGTATACTGTGTCAATTTCCATAATCAAATTTGACTAAGCAAAAATTTTCGATTATCATCATTAGATTTCCATAATCCTCATTCCCTTATGGAGGGCAGAAGGCTCCTAAACTTGACTTATGCCATGTATTTGATTGGCTAAGCAAAGGAATGTCAAAGGTGCTTGATATCCGACCATATGTGGAAAGGGGTAGTGCAATATGAGCCTTCCATATCTGGACTTTTACATATTTAGCTCGTCCATATTATTTGAAGCATTTGACACCTCATATTTATCGCAAACATAGAAGAAAAGTCTAGGCTATAAATAGCTGTTTTGAGAGTATGGTCAGATACTTTTGACCCAAGAGCATGTAGTTTTGAACGGACCAGAATTGGAATTGCTAGAAACCACCATAAGCATACACTTGCTGAAAAAGTTAATAAGACTTTAATAATTTCCATTTGAGTATCTGATGGTTTATGTGTGAATATTTGTCAAATTAATTTGAAAAAAAAAGTGGTCCTTTAATATGGGTTTACCAAGACTGCCACAGTGGTCCTAAACGGAGAATTAAGATTGCAATTGATAGGGTAATCAAAGGAATGTTAAAGGTGCTTGACGTATTGGAATATAGGTAGAAATGGGTACTGCAATAGCACACATGGAGGACATGTGTATGATAGAAACAACTCTTTCAAGAGCATGGAGTGTCTTGAATGGACTAGAATTGGAATAGCGAGAAATGAAAAAAGACATCCAATTGTAGGAAAAAGGTAAATTTAGGAGACACTTAGAGAGATTTTTATAAATTTCATTTGAGCCTCTGATGGTTTCTGCCCAAGAATATATGCAATTTGGTTTAAAAAATAGTGTTCCTTTACTATAGGTTTAACAAGACTGCTACAATGGTCCATAAAGATTTCACAATTAATGTTTCTCTTCAACAAGAAGTGACAACCTTTTTACAAAGTACTAAACCATTGATATTCTCTTGAGTCTTGTCCTGATTAAAAATTTCATTGTTTCACATTGCCATTTGCAATAAACAAAGAACAACTATTGGTTTCATGCCTAGTCCGTTATCCTCAGGTAGTCCGTTATCCTCAGGTAGTCCATCCCATATGCGGAAAAGTAGAACATAATTAGGTTTGTTGGGAACTGTTGGATGTATTTCCCAATTATAGTAAAATTACTTATTAAAATCTTTGATTTGCATCACTTAATTTATAATACAACAGTCACGATCAAGAATAAAATAGTAACAAACATAAAACAATAAATAAAATTGGCCCGTTTGCAGAACAAGAATTGTAATTGGCAAGACTAGTGTTTGACATAATGTCCTTTTTCGCAGATCTTGCTCCCACACTTAGTGTTTATGAAAATCTGAGCGTTCGCCTCTCAGGATACAATGATCTTCACTCACTTAGAAGAAGCAATCCAATCTAAATGCCTAGTGAACTAGAATTGTGTGTTGTACTCTCAGATATGTAGACTGTTAATGCCGAAAATGACTAAAATCTTAAGTTTAGAATGGTAATGAATTTGGGTTATTTATAGACAAAATGGTGATTGATTCGGACAACCACCATGTGAACAGACACAACTTAGAAGACACAATGTAGCCCAAAGACTTCATTGATGTCTACTTACTGAACAGACATGAATTCAAATATTCGGACCAGAGGAAAACCAGAAGTCCAAATCAGTGCAAATTTTGAATTCTAATGGACAAAAATTAAAATAAGGTTAAGAAATTTGGATCTAATTCGTTAAACGAATTTTCTTTAAAAATATAAGGTTGGGTCTAAATTGAGCCGAGCCTAGCTAGGTAGTGGCGTGGACCGAAGTCCATGTAGGTGTTCGCTCTGCACACAAAAGTGTGGCACCCCTTGGAGTCCAACTTATACTACAAACTTGGCATATATGCACATGTAAAATTTTATTTCTAACCAATGTTAGATTGGTGTTAAATCCCAAACTGCCTAACCTCTTATTTCCACATTTTAAGAGGGTCATTTTGGAGTCTATTTTTTCATTCATCTCTCTTACTTGATTAAACAAGTGAACATACTACGTTATTATTCACAGAGTAGAACACGAACTCATGAAAGTTTACTCAAAACGATGAGTGAGTCCCATTTTAATTTAGGCTCAGAGTTGACCAAAATTTCAATTTTTACAACTAAAAATATGTTTTGGTCTGACAGGAACTAGTGTCAAATCCCCTATTAAGATGCTCCTATTGAAACAGGAGGATGACTTCATTGAATATCCTCTTTATTCCTGCAAACACGGTGCACATTCTCATTGATGAATATCATAAGTCTGGTCGAGTCATGTTGCTAAACTGTAACATTTATTCATATGGGAATGTCCATGTGCCTCAAGCTTTGGATACACAATCCTTGGCGGACTTCTTGTATTGCTGGGTTGATCCGGAGATCATGTTTGGACTTTAGAGTTCAAACCATAATCTAGGAATGTGTAGGGATGAACATCTTCTGAGAGCACACATGGCAAGGCTGGGATTTTGGATCCTCACAACGTTCGGTGTTAATTTCAACAATTTTGAGAACTAAAAGCTTTAATCCCGTTTTATTTTCCCATTTAGACGTGTTTTTATCTGCAGGACTGGATAGCTATAAATTCAAGTGTTCAAAATCACTGGTTTCTTTTCTTTTCTTCGAACAATGAACTTGCTCAATATGGAATAAGTTGATTTTCTCCTTCATTTTTCTCTGTAGATGAAAAAAACTGCAAAAGCATTCTCTTTTTACACCCCCTTTTTTGTTTGGGCGTGTGTGAGAGCGTGTGCATTTTTTTTTTTTTTTGTGTGTATCTATGTGTGGGTCTAGAACTATTGGTGTATTTGTGGTTCTTAGATGGCGATCTTCAGATATAGTTGTTTGTTAGTCTTCATTTGAAATTTCAAATGGACAACAATTTAGTAACAAGTAGTGATACTAATTGTTGGCCCAAATGCACCCTAACAGAAGGAGGGGGGTGAATTAGGTTGTATTTGGGCCAACACAATGGTATGTTCGGGTGAGTAAATTCAAGTAACGGATGATTGGTAGGTTGCTGATAGCTGATTGGAAAGGAGCAAGAAAATCTATGCAGATGGTGTCTGGATTCGACATCCATTAGGAATCATATCGCACATTATGCTGTCTCAATACTTGTTTAATCTTAATTCCACAAATAATTAGAGTTAGATTCTTAGCGGAGGGATGTGAGTGGGTGTGGTCATGGGAAGGGGAGCACTGGCTATGCCATTAGACCCTGAAAAATAGAAAAACAGAAACCATTGTCTTACTTTGCTATACCATCTCTTTGCGTGAGTGAGGATTAAATAATTAATAGAAAAGAAGTATTGGCTTCCTTTGCTATAATCTTTCTTCAGGATCATAAGGTTGCTTGAGTGACAACCCCCCTCCTTCTTTCTTTTAATGTACCTACCACATAATGATCCTATGAGTGTACCACCCTCAATTGGCCAAGCAATTATGCTAGATGAAATAGTTCCTACAACAAACTGCCACTATAGAAAGTTAAAATAACCGTCTTTCAAGGTGTTGCATAACCACATTCAACCAGACCAAAGTTTTGGAATTCATGTGACACCTTTAGGCCCCTAACAGACTGGAATGGTGACATAGAATGCACGTACTAGCTGGCTCTAGGTAGTTGGGAAAAGACTTTGTTTGATAAGGCTGGAAAAAATAATAATTCACTCCTGTTATAATATAAATGCCATTCCAGGGGATAATATCTTCAAAATAATTTAAAATCTGAAATATTGTCATTGGAAAATTTTCCCTAACCTGGTAAATTGTCTGACGATAATAGTATATATTTCTTTTGATTGACATTTCTTTTGTAACTGAGCAGTTGATTTCTCCTTCCTTGCTGTTAGGTTGTCACCTGCCTTCGCCAACCATCACAAGGACCAACTTTTGGTATCAAAGGGGGTGCAGCAGGCGGTGGTTACAGTCAAGTGATTCCAATGGATGAGTTCAATCTTCACCTAACTGGGGATATCCATGCAATAACGGCTGCAAACAACCTTCTAGCTGCTGCTATTGATACACGAATATTCCATGAATCAACACAAACAGATAAGGCTCTTTTGAACCGGTTATGCCCACCAAGCAAAGAAGGTAAACGAAGCTTTAGTGACATAATGTTTAGGCGTTTGAAGAAACTTGGTATTTCCAAGAAGCAGCCTGAGGATCTTACTGCACAAGAAATCAAGAAATTTGCTCGGCTTGACATAGACCCTGATTCCATCACGTGGAGGAGAGTTATGGATGTCAATGACCGATTCTTGAGGAAGATTACTGTTGGTCAGGGGCCCGAAGAGAAAGGGATGGTGAGAGAAACAGGATTTGATATTTCAGTTGCTAGTGAGATAATGGCAGTTTTGGCGCTCACAACTTCTCTTGCTGACATGAGAGAGAGGCTTGGAAAAATGGTGATTGGAAACAGCAAGGCGGGTGACCCTATAACTGCTGATGATCTTGGTGTTGGAGGTGCTTTGACTGTACTAATGAAAGATGCAATTAATCCTACTTTGATGCAGACTCTTGAGGGAACCCCCGTCTTAGTTCATGCAGGTCCTTTTGCAAATATTGCCCATGGGAATTCATCTATTGTTGCTGATAAGATCGCACTTAAGCAGGTGGGACCAGGTGGTTTTGTTGTCACAGAAGCAGGCTTTGGCGCTGATATTGGAACTGAGAAGTTTATGAATATCAAATGTCGATATAGTGGTTTAACACCCCAATGTGCTGTTATTGTGGCAACAATAAGGGCCCTCAAAATGCACGGTGGAGGGCCAGAAGTTGTGGCTGGGAGGTCCCTTGACCGTGCCTACCTAACAGAGAATGTGTCTCTTGTTGAAGCTGGTTGTGTGAATCTTGCCAGGCATATTTCAAACACAAAGGCTTACGGTGTGAACGTCGTGGTAGCTGTTAACATGTTCTCAACTGATTCTGAAGTGGAACTAAACGCAGTTCGGAATGCAGCATTAGCAGCTGGGGCATTTGATGCTGTTGTTTGTACTCATCATGCCCATGGTGGCAAAGGAGCGGTTAGTGATTATTTCAATTAACTTTTTTTTTTTTTTTTGGTTTTGTTTTGGGGTAATCTATTCAGTTAACAAGCTACCCATACTAAGCTGAAAGGTGACTGTCAGCATTCTTTCCTGAAATGACAGCAACATGGAATGTGGAATCACTTCCAAAGAATAGATAACAGCAAAAGTGAGATCCTATAGATGTCAACTGAACTGTTGTATTACTCATTTGCTCCGCACCTACAACTTTACCCTGCTCCAGTTAGTGTTTTTTTTTCCATAGGAAGTCAATAGTAACAGGTGAATTCTGAGGAAATCATGGGAAATCTCTTTTGTGAGTCAGCTTTTATCAGGCTGATACAAATTGGCACTGCTTGATCTATCTCATTTTCACAGAGAAGGATGTAGGGAGGACAGATTGGTCCTTTATGAACCACCTTGACACTTTTTTCTTCATTTCACAGTAATAAGATAACATAGAATGTGAAGTAACAAATGCATCTGTAAATATTGTTCCCGTATGACAAAAGCTTCATTTTGGTTTACTCCAGCCATTGTTAGGTTTCTTGCTTTTGCTTTCTGTGTGAGCACTGTGTAATTGGACCCATATGTGTAACTGAACTTGTCATAAAGGAATAAACACTCGCAAATTGTCTTCAAGGAATAGAATTTTCTTGTTACAAGGATTCAATTTCACAAGTATAATAATATGCACATGAACCTGTTAAACGTCTTTTAGTAATAAAACCAATTGTAGCACTATTTGAAATTCAAACTCATTTTAATGGAGGCGTATGCTGCAATCACTATCTATTCCAATTGCCTTTTTGTCGGAACTCTTTTGCCTTCCTGGTCTCTGTTCTGCTTGAAAATATGCCTCGAGAGCACTAGGATGGTCCTTGTTGAGGCCCTTTTGCTCAGACAGATATGACATATCAACCTACTTTTCTGTCCCAGTCTACACTTTGCTTCAATGTCCTTGAGATGGTCCTTATTTGAATCCAAATATAGAGTCATAATCATTTGAAGATTCCTATCATAGTTTCATGACTGCAACTGTTTTCCTTTAGCATTTTCTTCTCCTCTGATAAAAGAGCATATCAGAGGAAGAAATTGTCACTCGATGGAGAATTTTATCTTACTTACTACCTCATCTATTTGCAGATTGCCAAAAATGAAACTCCCATCTGGGATAGCAGGGATCCAGATATAGTTCTTCTTGTTCAGTATAGGACAATGTTTATTATCTCTATCTACAGTAACTGACTAATACTTCTAGGAGAGCCATATCCATAATCTAACATGGTGGTCATTTTAGAACATATGTAATACTTCTGAATTGATCTTGGACATGTGTCCTAAACACCTTGAACATTGAGATATGTCATTTTTTGCTTTCAGCATAGAGTTGAAAGAAGAGCGGTTACATCTAGTCTGATTTGGTCCCCGAGTGTTTAACATTGTAAGTTGGGAAGTGTGTGTATGGCATATGTAAAAATGTTGATAATAAATTGCTGTGTACATGTGACATGTCCTTGCTGCCTTTGTATTGTTTAATCTCTTAAAATTTATCCTATGAGCTTGTTCATCACCTTTCAGTGGCCATGCATAAGACTGGTCCAGATTTTCATATGTTAACTGTGTTAGAGTTTTTAGAATATTTAGTCTTAAGGGTAGTTTAGTCATTTTGTTCTTTTATGTTGCCCTACTATATAAGGGCCTTTTGTATGCATATTTCTATTAAGCTGTAATGCAACCATTCTCTATTTTTCTCTCTTTTATCTCTTCTCCTAATTTGATGATATTTAACATGGTATTAGAGCAGTGTTTCAATCCTCAAACACAACTAGCAATATTGTAAACCCAGCAGAAGAATTTTCATTCATCACTTTGGCACAACATAGACCACTGTCACGATTGATTCTTCATGGGATACACTATGGCGTGCTTCGTTTTCGATTTTGTCGCCATTTGGTAGGACTTTTGATTTATTTTTAGTATTTTTTGGAAACTAGGGCAAAACTCGTGTATCGGCAAAATCTAAAAATTAGTTTGCGTTTTCTGCATCTAATCCATCCTACAAGGTACGATTTAGTGCAATGGAGGCTATATTGAGAGTTTTTCAGTAGTTTGAACAGATTTATGTGGACTTCTTGTGAGATTTCTATGTCGGCTGTGGTTCTTGGCTTATCTATGTTGAGGTCTTGTGTCTCCTTCTGTTGATTAATTGCAACTTGCAATTTCTGTGGAGCAAGTTTGTTTCTAATCGATTGTAATTTTGGGCCTGATCAATCTGTGGTGACTGATTTGCACAGTTAAACTTGTGATTCTCTTCCTCTGTTTTGGCTCTTGTTCTTTTTCTGTTTTTGAACAGTATAGCCAGATCTTTGCTGCTTTGGGCCTTGGTTCTGTGCTTTTGGATGGATTTCTGTTTGCTGGGCCTTTTCTATTTGCGGATTTGGGCTTTGTGATTGATTATTTATTGTTTGTAGTTTGGAGCTTTTGGGCTTTGTTTGTTGGGCTCCGTTAATAAGTTATTTTGCTGGATACTTGGGTTTGTTTCTATTTGTTGGGTTGCTTCTGCTCGCTGCTCCTGTTGTTCGCTGTTTATTGCTCCTGTTCGCGAGACAGGTTACTGGTAGTTTGGGCTGAGCTAGAATTTTGTTGCTCTTTCTTACTTTGGGCTATTGGATTATCTGATATTTGTCGTTTGGGTTGTTGGACTGATTGATTGGGCTATTGTTCTTTGGCTCGGACTTTGATTTTTCATTGGGCTGTAATTGTTGGGTCTGTTTGGCTTCTATTTTTCTTTGGGCCTCTGAACTTCAGTTGGACTTGGTGGTTTGGAATTGGTTCAGTTGATTTGATTGTTGTTATTTTTGGCTAGTGACAATTATGTTGAGTGACAATTCTGGCTCTCATCTGCCAATTAGTTTAAAATTGACTAAGATTGCTAATCAATTGCAGAAGCTTCTTCAACAGCCTAATACTCTCTCCATCTCATCTTTTATAGGTTCGTTCACTTCGGGTCCTTCAGGTATATTTCGAATTGCCTGAGTCTGACACAGGTGCTACCCATCATATGACTAGTGATTCTTTCTTATTTGTATCTATCTTTTCGCCTCCATTTGTTTTTGTGTTTGCAGTTAATGGTACACAAATGTCTTTGGCTGGTGTTGGTTTTATAATTTCTCCTCATCTAACACTTTCTGATGTTTATTATATTCCACAACTTACCTTAAATTTAATTTCAGTCAGTTAGTTATTGACTCTGGATTTTCAATTCATTATGCCTTTTCTGAATGTATTGTACAAGATCCATGTTCCAAGAAACTGATTGGGATAGACAGTAGAAAGGGAAGATTATATGTGTTAGACGAGTTACATATTCCTGATATTGTTACTTCTATTGCTGATTTATCTTTCTTTCATTTAAGTCCAGTCTTCTAGTTTCTATTTGTGGCATTCTTATCTTGTTCATGTGTCCCAATCTCGTTTGAAATTTTTAGTGTCTACTGGTAATTTGGGTAATTTAGAATATCATGATATTTTCAGTTGTAGTGGATGCAAGTTAGCTAAATTTACTGTATTACCTTTTAATAAAAGTTCCACTAGCTCACTTGCACCTTTTGATCTGGTTCATTCTGATTTTTGGGACCAAATCATGTTCCCACAAAAGGAGGGTCTAAATATTATGTCTCTTCCATTGATGATTATGCTAGGTTTTGTTGGGTTTATCTCATGAAACATCATTCTGAATTCTTTTCTGTGTTCACTGTTTTTCGTGCTATGATACGTACATAATATTTATCTGTTATTAAATGTTTTCGATGTGACTAAGGAGGAGAATATTTTTTCAATTCTTTTCGTAATCTATTAAAATATGATGGCACTATTTGACAATCTTCTTGTACTGACACACCTGAACAGAATGGTGTAGCAGAGCGCAAACATCGATATATTATAGAGACAGCACGCTCTATCTTACTATCACCAAATGTCCCAAGTTTTTTTTGGGGGAAGTAGTTCTTACTACGGTCCATCTAATTAATTTTATTCTCACTGTCATCACATCTAGAATTTCTCCATTTGAGAAACTATGTGGTAAGTCATCTGACTATTTTTCTTTGCATTTATTTGGATGCACCTTTTTTTTTTCTTCCTAGTGTTCTTCGTACTAAGCTCTCTGCTCGTTCAGTTTTATGTGTTTTTCTTGGTTATGGTGAGGGTTAAAAAGGGTATCGTTGCTATGATCTTGTTTCATACAAACTCTATGTCTTGTTATGTTTTTTTATGGAGTATATTCTCTTCTCTTCTATTCCATTTAGTTCTTCACATTTGTATAAATCTGATCTCATTTATATTGACCCATTTTCGGTTGATGTTCTCTCTGACACTTATGTTGGTGATATGACTGTTTCTGATGTACCCATCACTCGTCCCCTTATTGTGCATACATATGTTCGCACTAATCCAGCTATCTCCTCTACAAATGTGGTGCCTACCTTTTCTTCTCCTGACACCCAATCAGGTTTAGACAATGTGGATCATATTCCGCCCTATCGTCAGTGCTCTCGCAAATGTCCAGAAAGATTTGGTTGGAGTAACACTTGTTATTCCTTTGATTTTTGTTCTTTTCTTACTTCTATTTACTCCTTATCTGAACCCACCTCCTATAAGGTGGCATTACTTGATCCACTTTGAAAATAGGCTATGGATGAGGAATTGTCTGCCTTACATAAGACCAAGGCTTGGGAACTAGTGCATTTATCACCTAGTAAACGGCCCATTGGTTGTAGCTAGGTTTATAAGATAAAAATTAAGTCTGATGGTTTTGTGGAACGGTACAAAGCCCGATTAGTAGCCAAAGATTTTGGTTAGGAGTATGGTATAGACTATAATGAGACTTTTGCCCCTGTTGCGAAGATGACCACTGTTCGCACCGTGATTGTAGTTGCTGCCATTCGCTAATGGAATTTGTCTCAGATGGATGTGAAAAATGCATTTCTTCATGGACATTCAACGAGCTCGTTTATTAGATAATCGGACAGTTGAAACACCTTTAGAGCTCAATGTTTGTTACTCTTCTTTTGATGGTGCTCTCCTATCTGACCCAGCGCTCTATCGTGCTATTGTTGGGAGTTTAGTATATCTAACAGTCACTCGTTCGGATATCTCCTATGGTGTTCATGTTGTTAGTCCTATCTCCTATGTTGTTCAGGCACCCACCACTGTTAACTGGGTTGTGGTTCTTCGTATTCTTCGGTATCTTCGAAGTACTTTGCACCAGAGTTTGTTATTCTCCTCCTCTTCCTCTATAGAACTCAGGGCTTATTCTGATACTGACTGGGCTGATGACTCTATGGACCGTAAGTCCACTACGAGTTTTTTATTTTCCTTGGTGAATCTCTTATTTCTTGGAAAAGTAAGAAGCAAACTATTGTTTCTCGTTCATCTGCTAAAGCTGAATATCGTGCTATGACATCTACTGTAACTGAGATAGTTTGGTTACGATGGCTCCTTGCTGATCTTGACATCATGTTACTTACGTTGACTCTTATGTATTGTGACAATACCAGTGCTATTCAGATTACTCATTTTCTTAGTCTTTCATGAGAGCACAAATCATATTGAGATTGATTGTCACTTTGTACGTCATCATCTTCAGTCGGGTACTATCTCCCTCCCTTTTCTTTCTTCCACCATGCAGTTAGTAGATTTTTTCACAAAATCGCATGTTATTACTCGCTTTCATTTTCTTCTTGGCAAACTCTTGATATTTTCTGTCATGAGTTTGAGGGAGGGTGTTAGAGTAAGAATATTTAATCTTAAGGGTAGTTTAGTCCTTTTGTTCTTTTATGTTGCCCTACTATATAAGGGTCTTTTATATGTATTTTTCTATTAAGCTGTAAGCCTCTAATGCAATTATTCTCTATTTTTCTCTCTTTTTCTCTCTTTTATCTCTTCTCCTAATTTGATGATATTTAACAAACTTATGAATATGAATGTCAATTTTCAGGTGGACCTTGGCATTGCAGTTCAAAAAGCCTGTGAGAATGTGACACAAAAATTGAAATTCTTATATCCTTTGGATACTAGCATAAAAGAGAAAATTGAAGCAATAGCAAACTCATATGGTGCCAGCGGTGTTGAGTACTCTGAACAGGTAAAACTATATGATAATTTTGACACTATTGATAAACACAAATTTCTAATTGATGTCTCTGGAAATAAATGCACAAGTGAAGGAGTGAAATCGCACATCATCGGTCCTTTGGAAATTTTGATTGATGGTTGTAAAATATTGGTGGCCGTGCTTTTGGAAGGACAGCAATATTTGTTGTAATATTGGTAAGCTATGCTAGAAAATAATTTTGTAAAAATAAGGCTGGTAGGCAAGCCTTTTTCTATCATTTGAAGAATTGCAGAATCTATTCAAATACTTGAAAAATATTATTTCCAATGAAAATAACTATTGTGAAACCACTATTGTGAAATTTTTTAGCATGTGAAAATCTTTGGGCCTTTCTTTTGATATTTTGTTCATTGTTGGTGAATAACTAGGCTGAGAAACAGATTGAGATGTACAGCAAGCAAGGATTCTCCACTCTGCCAATCTGCATGGCGAAAACCCAATACTCATTTTCACATGAACCATCAAAAAAGGGTGCTCCAACTGGGTTTTCTTTACCAATCAGGGATGTAAGGGCAAGCATTGGAGCTGGATTCATTTATCCTTTAGTTGGGACGATGAGTACAATGCCAGGCCTCCCTACAAGGCCTTGCTTCTACGACATTGATCTCGACACAACCACTGGAAGGGTAATTGGTCTTTCTTGAATATCATGTAAGCATTGTGAACTAAGAATGCCTCTTCAACTGAGGTTATGTAGAGACAAAGTTATTGAACGAAGGAGTTAGAGCTGCCTTCCCTGTTACAGTGCTTACAAACATTGCGAATGCTCTTTGTTGATCATGTTGTGGACGATAAGACTCGAGAATAAAGGTAAGTCGAAGGTGTTAATAGAAGGTAAAAAATTTCAAAGATCCAAATATGCGAGCTTCTGAGTTATCCATAGAGGTTTCAAATTCTGTAATACCAACTCTGTGATACCTATTCTTTTTTTTTTTTGATACCAACTCTGTGATACCTATTCTTGCCTGTGTTGTATTACTCTTAAACAAAAGAAGTATTGTGTGAATTGAAACTATTCCCAGATATATTTTTTTGAGGGATGACCAATATGTCGTATTAAAACTTATTCAATTAATGTTTGATCTGTTAATGGTTTCGTGTCTTTTCGAAGTGGTTCTAGTCGTGTTTAGTTGGGTTTATGTTAATCTATATTTTTAACGGACTTGACAGGGTTCACTTGTTTATCACCCGAATTTGCTCAAATTAGGTAGTTTTAATGATAATTTGTTAAGGATAAGATTATATATACTAATTTCACATTGAGTTTGTATCGAGTTTGTGGGTAGTGTACAGCCTGGAAACTGAGTATGTTTTACCAACCATACTTTCACTGCAGTCATTGGCTGGCAGGATAGCATAGCAGAAGGCAGTAGCAGAGTCAATGTTTTGACCAAAGTGGGCATGGCCTCCGTTATATTTTCGATCGTTTTAACCTCATAAGTTGCGTGTGATTTATTTGGAATTACAAGACTGACCCCTTCGGTTTTTTCTATTTTCTATGTGCAACGTGTGTCTTACTAGTTTTCTATATTTGTCTTTCTCCTTCATAGGTATTTAAGTGAATCATATTGATGGGAAATCAAGAGTCGAATTTCTCTCTATCTATTCGATCATCCAGCTCCTGACACCCTGTCTAGCGAGAAAATATTTATTACAACGGTGGTGACACATTGCAATGTGATGTGGTATCACCCTCTTCTCTTTTTGCCGCTTCCCTCTCCTCCCTTGACGTCAGATTATGTGGACCTCATATAGTGACGGCTTGATCATTTATTTTGGGTGTTGCTACGCCTGGGATGATTCTAATATTGGTCATGCTCCAGTAAGCATTACTTAATATTAAGTTTGTGATTAAGAATCGTTTGTTACCAAGTGTTCTTTGTACTCGTAGTTGAAATGCAAAGCTCAGAAGTATGTCAAACTTATAAATTAAAACTTGAGTTTTCTTGTGACGATGAAGACTTGAACAAAAAATGTACTGAGTTTTTAATTCGTTTCTTATTTGACTATTGAATCAAGGAAAAAAGATATATGCAACAAAAAATAGGGAAAATTACTAATAAGAGATGAAAACAATGGAGGTTGTTTTGTGTCAAATTTTGCTCACCTGTGTCCGATCTTTTTATAATCTTGTATAGTTGGGTTCGTGTCGTGTTTAACAAATTTGTGTTGTATTTAGCTCAGTTCATATCAACTCATTTATTTGATAAATTTAATGAGTTTACCAGTTTACTATTTGAACTTGCTAAAATTAAATCAAAATTTGCTAATTTAATATTAATTTCATATTTGATTCTCAATCAAATATATTATATCTACTGAGCTTGAGTTCGAGGAAATAATCAGAACAAATCTGAACACCTTGAATTAAAAAAAAAAAATCCATTATATGTGTGGCCTCCATAAAGCATATATGATCATTCAACAAAATCTGGAAAAATATTTAATCTTTTAGATATGGATAAAATCCCAATTCATACGAACCACCAATTGCGGGCATTCTGCACTGCCCCAGGAAATTGATAGCTTTGACCTGACATGTCCAACCGTACGGCAATCACCTGCTTCGACTATTGTCCTACCTTCTATTTTCCTTTACCTCAATCCAAATTTGTCAATCGATTACAACATGGTATCCCGAAACCCAACCCCAAGTATGCCAATCTTCATAACATTACTTCTGCATTTTACATTCCCGTGGAACCGAAATCTATTATAACAGCTCTAAAACAGACGAGGTGGACTGCTGCCATGTGTGATGAACTTGATGCACTCCATCTCAATGAAACCTGGGACCTTGTCTTGAGTTCGTCATCTCACAATGTGATCGGCTGTAATTGGGTCTTTAAAACCAAGTTAAAATCTGACGGTAGTTTTGATCGTTTCAAGTTTCAAGGCTCGCTTGGTTGTGAAAGGTTTTCATCAGAAAGATGACGTTGACACCTTTTCCCCCATAATCAAACCCGCAAGCATTCACACTGTGTTGACCGTTGCCTTTGTTCATGGTTGGGACCTTCACCAACTTGATGTTATGCGTTTCTTCATGGGTACCTACACGAGCCTGTTTATATGAAGCAGCCCGAGTTTGTTGGATCCTTCTTATCCACACCCTGTATGCTGCCTTAAGCGTGCTCTTTATGGTCCCAAACAAGTCCTACAGGCTTGGTTTGATCGTTTGAGCCTTTTCTTGCTCAATATGGGATTCTTTTGTAGCACTGCAAATCATTTGTTCATCACTCCTCCCGTGGCACTCTTCTTCTCCTTCTATATGCAGACGACATGGTCCTTATAGTGGACAATTCTTCCTTCGTGGACTGGTTTGTCTGTGAGTTGGGTCGCAAATTTTCCATCAAGGATCTTGGGGATCTTCACTATTTTCTTGAGATCGAAGTTCACTATTTCTCTCAAGGCCTATTTCTTAGTCAGTCGAAGTACGCTAGTGACCTTCTTGTTCGTGCTCAAATGACAAATTGCAAGGCCTTTAACACTCCCATGGCCCTCACGGAGTGGCTTCTTTCCTCTGATAGTTCTCATTTTCCTAACCCAACTCATTATTGACGTATTGTTGGTGCTTTATAATACTTTGACTTTCACTTGACCCAATCTCTCGTATACCTTCGATTTTGTTTGTTAATTTATGCACGCTCCCACTATGGCGCATTATCAAATTGTTAAACGTATACTTCGTTATGATCATGGCACAAGTTATAGCTTACTCATTCTCGCTAACAACACTCTTGACCATTATGGTTTCTCGGATGCCAATGGGGCTGGTTGTCCCCTCACGCACCACTCCACTACAGGTTTTTGAACTTTTTGGGTGGTAATTGTCTTTCTTGGAGCGCAAAGAAACAATCCACCATGGACTGTTCTAGTACTGAAGCTGAATACCGATCTATGGTATCTACCACGACCGAGTTAACTTTTTGTGTTGGCAGTGGCTCAAATTTTGTTTTGATTGGTTTGGTGACATCATTGTTAAAAAGACCTATTTTGATTGGTTAGCTGACATCATTGTTAATGGCTTATTGGATGATACAATTGGAGTAATTTCATTGCTTGAATGAGATGAGAGTTCCTTTGTAATAGGTTATATGATGTCATTGCTAAAATTTTATTATAGGATACAAGTGGAGCAATCAAATGCAGCGCTTAAATGCAAAGAAGTTTATCTGCCACCACCTTGGGATGCATATAAATACGCATGGGTCTCTTGGTTTTGAGACCATCTCGAAAATTGTATTTGTTCAATTTTCATTCTCTTGTTGAGAGTACGAGAGGTTTTCTTTACTGGGGATTTGAGAGGGTAAGGTTGAGTGATTTGTATAAAAGGTTAAGGGCTTGAGTTTGGAATTTAAGCCCAAGTGGTGATGCTTGTACTATTGTGCCCATTTTCTCTCAATAGTAAAAAAAGGAGACCGGATCACGTTTTATTGACGTATTTTGCCGAACCACATAAATCTTGGTGTTGTAAGTTGTGCTTTGATTTTTTTATTCTGTTTATTTATTTCTTGTTGTTGTACTAACCAAATTGCTACGAAGTTAATTCCCAACAAGCGGTATCAGAGCCCCAGGTTCAATTGGGAAGATTATAATTAAGAACAAGTGCGCATAGTTCTTGATTACCGACGCTCAGTATGATGATGGGAAAAGACATCTCGATTTACAAATTCGAGATGAAACCCTTTGATGGGAAAAATAACTTTAGTCTGTAGCAAAGAACAATTAAAGACATCTTGGTGCCACAAGGACTGCCCAAAGCAATACTCAAGAAAGATAAAAAACCAGCAACCATGAAAAATGAGGACTGAGNGAGATGAAACCCTTTGATGGGAAAAATAACTTTAGTCTGTAGCAAAGAACAATTAAAGACATATTGGTGCCACAAGGACTACCCAAAGCAATACTCAAGAAAGATAAAAAACCAGCAACCATGAAAAATGAGGACTGGGAGGAACTTGAGATGAAAGTTGTGATTATCATTCATTTATCTCTCGCACTAGAGGTAAAATATAATTTTTTGAATGAAACTTCCACTCCAAATTTATGGGAAAAATTGAAAAAAAATTATATGTCAAAATCTCTCACAAACAAATTGTTCATAAAGAAACAATTATATCAATTGCGGATGGTAGAAGGAACAAATATTGTTGATCATCTCAATTAGTTTAACAAAAAATTGTTACTCAACTTTCTAGTGTTGAGGGTTAAAATTCTAGAAGGGGATAAAACTATTCTTCTCTTGGTTTCTTTTCCATCTTCTTTTTGATACAATTGTGACTACACTTTTGGTTGAGAAATATACTCTTAGGGTTGATGAGGTGATGGCGGCTCTCTTGGAGACTAAGACACTCCAAAGGCCAGGAAATAGTTCCCAAGCAGAAGGGTTGATGGTCAATGGTGAACCTAGACAACAAAGAGGAAGAAATAAAAACAAAGGCTCTGGAAATAAAGGGAGGTCACACTCAAAATCAAAAGGGAAGAGTGACAGCAAAATCAAGTTTTACTACTGTCACAAGGAAGGACATATGAAAAGGGACTACTATCAAAGAAAGTGAGATCTGGATGACAAAGGAAAATCTACGAATTTAGATCAAGCAGGCATTGCACAAGATAATTCAAAAGGCAATGGTGATTTATTGTC